CGTTTGTTGGGAATGTGATATTGTGATGTAGTTGTGTGTTTTGTGCAAGCGTGTTGTGGATGAGGTTGTGGTGCGGGATGCTGAGATGGATTGTCTGATGCGCTGTGTCATTCATTTAACATTGCATACACACGCACTCGCATATACATATGTGCGAGCATACACACACACGTAAACACACAACAACGACACCGTACAACAACATTTATAATCATAACACCCATTCGTATGCACGCACACATTGCCGCACTTTGATACCATTCATTTTCTTCAACACGCAGTCTTTTGGAGAACGCGCTTGGAACAGGAAGGGCGAAGGCGATTGCCAAGGCTATCCACGAGAATCAGATGATGCTGGCAAACGAGTAAGTTGTTTCAAACTGCGAGCGTGTTTTGTCAAAGCGCTTTGATGTATTTAGTGCGTTGTGCACCACCGCGTGGTTGTTTCTCAACTGTGCACATTTGTATGCGCACGTGCTTGCAATATACCGTTCTAATGAGCGCCTTCACTGCTTTTGAGCAGGTTGACGCTGGATGGAACTGATCCTGAGCGCTTGAAGGCGATTACCGCCGCCCTGAAGGTCAACACGACGCTGATTTCCCTCGCGTTAGTGCTGCAATTGTACTTAAGGGGGGCATGGAACGGATTGAATGATGTGACGTACTTTACCGTATTTTATTGATGGTTTGTTAAATTGACGCACGCACACGTCGTTTGAACATATCCTTCTCACTTCACTCGCAATGATGCAGACTGAAGAAGAGCAATTTTGGGTGTCTCGAGTGGAAGTTGGTTGCTGAATCGCTGGCAGTGAACAGAAGAGTGACCACTCTAAAGTGCGTGTCTCGTGTGTGTAGATGTGATGTGTGCATTGATTGGAAGCCTTCCGTTTTCATGTCATGTTCTGCTTGATATGCAGTGTTGTGACACATTCACTTGGTCTGCTTGGATGTTGCTATGCATGCCCAACTGAATCCAGCGTGGGTGCACTAATCCAAATACACCACCTGCAGGTTTGAGGAGAACGCTCTTGGGCCTGAAGGTTGCACGGCGATTGCAGAAGCACTCAAGATGAACACAGCCCTAACGTCCCTACAGTATGTGACTGTTGCATATTTGCATGTCAGAGCTACCCTTTGTCGGTTGTGAAGTTACGTAAGCGCTCTCGTTTAATGTTTGAATCCTTCTGGGTGGATGAGGTGTGCAGCATGACGAAAGGCAAAATCAAGTGTTCATCATGACAGAAACGATCAACACACTCAACAACAACAACAACAACAACAACAGAACAACAACAACAACAACAACAACAACAACTTAAACAACAACAACTTAAACAACAACAACAACAACTTAAACAACAACAACTTAAACAACATCCACACGCCGCAATCAATGCACAAAACAACATGCAGCTTGTACAGTAACAGTCTTGGACCTGCAGGCGGAACGGCGATTGGGGAGGCACTGAAAGTCAACACCACGCTGACATCGCTCAAGTGAGTTGTTTTGTTGCGGCTGTGTATGTTGTGTATGAATATGTGCGACATTGTGTGCGACATTGTGCGCGTGCTTGCGTGTGGTTATGTTGTGGTTGTACATTGTGGTGTTGATGTGTTGTGAGTGGTGGTTTGTGAGTGGTGGTTTGTGAGTGGTGGTTTGTGTGGGTGAGATAGTGGAGGGGGGCGTGTTGTAACAACGTGAGACGATGCCGCATGCCTCCTTTTGTTTTGTGCGCGTGTGCGCGTGTGAGCATGTTTGCTGTGCGTGCATGTGTTTTGTGTTTTGAGTGGAATGCTGAGGTGGATTGTGTGATGGGCTGTGTCATTCTTTCAACATTGCATACACACATACGTACACACACACATACACACTTACGTACACACGCGCGCGCATACTCACATACGTACACATACGCACGCGCATACTCACAACAACAACAACAACAACAACAACAACAACAACAACAACAACAACAACAACAACAACAACAACAACTTAAACAACAACAACTTAAACAACAACAACAACAACAACTTAAACAACAACAACAACAACTTAAACAACATCCACACGCCGCAATCAATGCACAAACCAACATGCAGCCTGGCCCACAACGACATTGGACGTGAAGGTGGGACGGCGATTGGGGAGGCACTGAAAGTCAACACCACGCTGACATCGCTCAAGTGAGTTGTTTTGTTGCGGCTGTGTATGTTGTGTATGAATATGTGCGACATTGTGTGCGACATTGTGCGCGTGCTTGCGTGTGGTTATGTTGCGGTTGTACATTGTGGTGTTGATGTGTTGTGAGTGGTGGTTTGTGAGTGGTGGTTTGTGTGGGTGAGATAGTGGAGGGGGGCGTGTTGTAACAACGTGAGACGATGCCGCATGCCTCCCTTTGTTTTGTGCGCGCGTGCGCGTGTGAGCATGTTTGCTGTGTGTGCATGTGTTTTGTGTTTTGAGTGGAATGCTGAGGTGGATTGTGTGATGGGCTGTGTCATTCTCTCAACAACAACAACAACAACAACAACTTAAACAACATCCACACGCCGCAACCATTGCACAAACAACATGCAGCCTGGCCCACAACGACATTGGACGTGAAGGCGGAACGGCGATTGGGGAGGCACTGAAATTCAACACCACGCTGACATCGCTCAAGTGAGTTGTTTCGTTGCGGCTTCGCCTGTTGAGCTGCATGTATTGAATGGTTCGATCATGGTACACCCATCTCACTCCTGGCTACTGAAGTGATACACCCTGCGATTGCCTTGTAGCAATGTGAATGTCGCCTTGGCCTTGCTTCAACGTTCAGTTCATGTTAAACACGTACGCAGTGTCTCACACAACACATCTTTTGTTTTGCATTTCAACAGCATTGGCAGCAACTCGATTTCAGGCAGACTTGAATCAGCCATCAATTCGGCTCTGAAGCGAAACAAGCAGCTTGCAGCGCGCACGGAAGAGCTCGTGGCCCTTCTTGAGCATGGCTCCGTGCCACTCTCAACGGCCAAGGTGTTTGTGTGCGGGCATTATGGCATCGGCAAGACCACCCTCATCAACACGCTGCAATCAGCTCCAAAATTCTTCAACACCATGGTGCGCCGCCGTCGCAAAACATATGACGAGCCAGATCGCCCAGATCAGCGCACCCCCGGCATTGAGATGTACGACTTTGCACTCACGAGGGGCAAGTCATCTGGCAGCGTCTCGCTGACGCCATCGCCAACTGGCGCAGCAGGAGGGAGCGAAGACTCATCCAGTCACGAGACAACGCTCCCACCATGCAAGCTGCGGGTGTATGATTTCGCTGGGCAGGTGGAGTACCATGTGGTGCACGAGCTGTTGTTTGCGGACCACAACGCCGTCTTCGTCGTGTGCGTGGACGTGTCCAAGGCCATGGCCAACGTGGAGGCGTCTGTGCTGTACTGGCTTCGCTTCATCAAGACGCGCCTGCACCAAGCCGTGCACCGCTCAGCGCATCCACCGCACGTGTTCATTGTTGGCACGAAGGCAGACAAACCACACGAGCACAACACGCTGGTGAAGATGACAGCAGACGCATTACCACATGAATCTGGTATCTCTTTGCCGCCAATGCAATTTCCGAGTGGCGACGCGCTGTTGCAGAGCCGCCAGCTGCAGGAGTGGTTTGGTGACACGATGCGCATCCATCCACACGTGATACCTCTCAATTGCCATGACTTGGGCGGTGCCTGCATGCATCACCTGCGCGATTTGCTTCATGCCGCGTGGATGGATGTCGTGCAGCAGGACATTCAAGTGCCCAACGTGGTGGAGCTGATCGCTGAGGGGCTGCAGCTGTGCAGGAAGGAGGGTGAAGGTCCATGGGCACTGCACCGGCTCTTCCCTTTCGTATCAGAAAACATCCCCGGGATAGAAACCATTGCGGGCTGGAACGAGGACATCTTCTTCAAGGCGCTCAGGTGTGTGTGTGTGTGTGTGTGTGTGTGTGTGTGTGTGTGTGTGTGTGTGTGTGTGTGTGTGTGTGTGTGTGTGTGTGTGTGTGTGTGTGTGTGTGCGTGTGCGTGTGTGTGTGGGGGGGGGACCTTGTGCTAAAAACATACATTTTCTGCAATCGCCGACAATGAACCCCCTGTCCTCTCCTCCCTGCCCCAGATCAAATACATACACATACGGGGGAGAATGTGTGGGTGTGTACATACCCGTCCCTTGCCGCGCATGGTATTCTTCTTCCATTCCTGGTGGCTGAAAAAAAAAAAGAACGCGACCCCTGGTCTCCGGCCCGTTTCCCCTTTTCCACTTAGAACG